CAAAGAAAAACCCTGTCTAAAAAAAAAAAAAAAAAAAAAAACAGACAAGATGATCAATGGGAATCGAATTCATTAAGACCCAGATGTAAATCCATAGTGGCTATACAAGTTTGTACTCCCACCAGCAATGGAGGAGTGTTCTCTTTGATCCACATCCTTGCCAGCGTGAACTATCCCTTATGTTTTTTATCTTTGCCATTCTGACAGGTGTAAGATAGAACAGGATGGGTTGTGGGGGAAGAGTGCTGAGAGACATGACTGGAATTAGGGGGCATTTTACAAGATGTGCTTGGATAAAAGTGGCACAGAACTTGTAAAGCAACCAACCAATAACTAGTCCAAATGAAAACCTACATCACAAGAGGGAGCCCAGCCAGACACTGCCTGGAGGGCCAGGAACTAGTGTCTGAACAACCCAGAGACCAAGGATAGAGCCAAACATGATAGACCAACAAGTAAATAAATAAAGTCAGTGAAATGATTCCCAATGATCTTATGCTATACTTGTAGACCTGAACCTAGCATAATCCTCATCAGAGAGGCTTCATCCAGCAACTGATGGGAGATGCAGAGACCCACAGGCAAACATTAGGCAGAGCTTGGGGAATACTGCAAGAGGGCAAGGAAGGATTGTAGGATCCAAAGGGGTCAAGGATACCTCAAGAAAACAGCCAAAAGAATCAACTAACCAGTGCTAATAGGGGCTCATAGAGACTCAACAGACAATCAAGGGGTCTGTATGGGTCTGAGATTCATCCTCTGCATACATGTTATGTTTGTGTGGCTTGGTCTTCTTGTGGGCATGGGGGCCGTCTCTGACTCGTTTGCCTGCTTTTGGGACCCTTTTCCTCCCCTGAGGGGAGGTGCCTGGTCTTCTTATAACCTGACAGGCCATCTTTGGTTGGTATCCCTAAAAAGGCCCACCCTTTCTGAAGGGAAAGGAGAAGTTGATTTGGGGGAAAGAAGATGTGGAGGGAAGGAACTGGGAGGAGGGGGGAGGGGGAAACCGAAGTATGGACATAATATATGAGAGAAGAATTTAAAAAAAGAAAAAACAGCATGGCTAGTTGGGTACTGGGGTAAACATGATCAAAATAATTACGTACATGTATGAGCATGTCAATAATGCAACCCATCCTTATATACAACTAGTATAAAAACATTTTAAAAGAAACAAAATAGGGCTGGAGAGACGGCTCAGAGGTTAAGAGCACTGGGGTCCTGAGTTCAATTCCCAGCAACCACATGGCTCACAACCATCTGTAATGAGATCTGGTGCCCTCTTCTTGCCTGCCGGCATACATACAGACTGAACACTGTATACAAAATAAACAAACAAATAAATAAATAAATAAATAAATAAAACTCTTCTGAGGTACTGGACAGCTTGTCTGGGGAGAGAGAAGGGGCAGGAGCAAGCCAAAGTAGAGACTAAAAAGTGAATGGAGCAGACTACCCAAGACAGACAGAGATCCTACTGCCATTCCAAGTTCTATCAGCTACTTTTCCCCCTGAATCTGAGTTTCCCTCAGGAGCCCCAAAAAATAAAGAACAACTTCTCTCAAGTACAATATAGCTCAACTTCAAATTCCGTTTACCCTTTCACTCAATATTTACTTATCTGTAATTTAAATCTTTTTCATACAAAAATACCAAAAATAGTCCACCCTCCCCCCCCCAAAAAAAAACAAACAAAAAACCTCCAAGGAGTTCTTTTTTAATGTTGGCCAACTACTCCTGGGCATGAACCCTGTCCTGAAGTGTGATTGCTACACCCAGTGACCCTCCATTAGAGAAAATGGATTTTTCCCTTTCCCAGCAGGAATAAACTTCAACTAGTTTCAGGTTAGGGGTGGAATTTTGCATCCATTTCCCTTTCTTAATGCTGGGATTTTGAGTGGTTTGAATTTGTATGGTGTTGTAGAAATTTTTTTTAAAAAAGATTTTACTTATTTATTATGTATACAACATTCTGCTTCCATATATATCTGCACACCAGAAGAGGGCACCAAATCTTATAAGGGATGGTTGTGAGCCACCATGTGGTTGCTGGGAATTGAACTCAGGACCTCTGGAAGAGCAATCGGTGCTCTTAACCGCTGAGCCGGCTCTCCAGCCCCGTACAATATTATTTTAAGGTGTGTGACTTTTGTTTAATGTTGCATTTGTTTAACTCTGTGAAGCTGTGATTCTCTGCCTGTCTGCAAGAACAAAAAAGGAACAGAGAGAACAAGGAAAGGAGGATGTCAGGGGCCAGCCACCCACAGAGTAAGATTTACGGAAGAAAAGAAAAAAGCCCAGAGGCAAAAGGCAGTCAGGATAATTTAAGAAAAACTGGCAAGAAACAAGCCAACCTAAGGCTACGCGTTCATAAGACTAAGCCTCCAACTCATGATTTGGGAGCTGGGTAGCAGGCCCTCAAAAGAGCCAAAGAGCAAAGAGTTAAAACAGCAGTATGGTCCTTGTTAATACTGCCATCACCCTGCTGTGTCTTGGAGTCATACACCTCTGGCTCTTACAATCTCACCTCCTCTCCTACAGAGATCCCAGAGCCTTGAGGGGAGGATCCCTGTTTAGGGATAAGTGCTCCACAGCCTCTCTTCTGTGTGGGTCTCTGATAATTACCATGTGCTGCAGAAGAAGCTTCTCTGACATGGGCAGAATGAGGCACTGATCAAAATGGTACAGCAGCACGTCACCAGGAGTCATTTGACTGCTATGTCCTTTTAGCAGAACACTAGATTTTCCCCTAGGGCCTACGACTTATCTAGTCTCAGGTTCTTGGCTGCTTTAGCAGTACTGAATAAGAGTTTCATCTCAGTGAACGGGCTTATATTAGTGCACATCAGTTTTACCTATCACAGCTAGGTTTCTAAAAGTAGGAAAAGGACAAGTAAATGATATTTGTCTTATATATCTGTGCAGCATGAAGCTCATCAATGTACAATTTGGCAGCAATTTCATTATATAAATCTCTACAATAACATTACTTCTAATTTGATAATCAACTTTATAGTACAAGGTAACTCATTAGCCTAATGTCAGAACTATTTAATGAGAAAGTGCATTAATTAAAAATCATATTCAAATCAGGAAAAGAATTCTACCTTTAAAATATCCAAACAGGGCCAGAGGCATGGCAGAGCTCTTTCAAGAGCTTGCTGCTCTTCCAGAGGACCTGAGTTCTTTCCCCAGCAACAGGCTGGACAGCTCACAATCACCTGTAAGTGGTCCAGGGGATCCAATGCCCTCCTTTGGCCTCTGCAGGCACTACACATACGGACACAGACACACGGATACATATTAAAAAAAAAAAAAAAAGAAAGGGCTGGGCATGGTGGTACACACCTTTAATCCTATTACTTGGGAGGCAGAGGCAGCTAAAGTTTGTGGCCACTCTGACCACACTACATAGTGAGACCCTATCTCAAACAAAATAAATCTAAAAAATATCCAAGCAGGCAACATCTAAGCCACATAGATCCTGGAAAAGGAAATTGCAGTAGTACTTAAAATTCTTATGACAAAATTCAAACAATGTCAGTGTCTTATCAAGTCCACACTTACCTGCTCAACAAGTCTCCACAAAAAAATAATGTAAGTCCAAGGAGGAAAATAAGGAAGAATTTGGGGTCAAATCCTAAAACAAATGAAAACTTTCCTTAATAGAAGAAACAATTAAAGGTATAAAAGGTGACATTAGCAATACTGGTCAACTATAGTAAAATGGCAGTATAGGTATGACACAAATCCTGGGCCTCCTTCCAAAGAGAAGCCGTAATTAGGTTTCTGTCTAGTATGGACCTTCTTGAGTATCTTACTCTTATTTTGGCTTCCTCTACTAAGGCTTTAAAAAAAACATGCTGGACTAAGCTAAACATGATGCCATCATCCCCTCACACACTTGCTGACAAGTGTCTGGGTCTCTGCCTTAAGTCACTCACAGGCAGGGAACTTGAGAAAGAGGCCTAAAACTTGGGTGTGGGCCTCATGTCCTCTAAGCAGCATTCTTCTTGCCCAAACACACCTCATATTTTGCTTCACTATAAAATACAGCACTGTGCTGACAAAGTCCCCCTGCCAAACATCGTTCTCTCACCCAGGCCCAAGCAGAGACACACTGTTGGCACATCAGAGCATTCCATGGCTTTGACATTCAAAAGTCCAGTCTACGGCAGACCCAGAAACAGACAGGAGCTGGCAGGATAATTGAATACGGAAGGAACACCAAAAGATAAGCCAGCCCTACTGTTGCAGATTATCATTGTAACCAGGCAAAGATGTGTTACATTAGTTTATGCTGCAGAATATTACTTTAACTGTGTAAAGGTGTGTTACTTTTATTTATGCTGCATTTATTTAATGATGTAAAGACGGGTTTAGGATTCACCTTGCCCGCCTAAGGCACCTGATTGGTCTAATAAAGAGCTGAATGGCACATGTGTCATTTAGGGCGGTTGGCTGCAAATTGCTACTGGCCATGCTAAGGGAGGAAACAGAGTAAGAACAGTTTGACTCAAGGATCTCTTCTGAAGAGAAAAAGGGGGGTTATGGGAAGGATAGGAGGTAGATTAGTGAATCTACTTTTAAAAACTAAAAACTATTAATCTCAAATATTTTACATTGGTATGAACTTTTGTATACTGATACAAGTATAAGGTTATTTTTGTTACAACATACTGTATATATGTTTATGCTCTTATTTAAGGTATTGTACCTATGCAGTTCATTTAAAAATGTAAAGTTATAGTCCTTGAAATCTATTATTATAAACCATTTAGGATATTAGAAATGCAGGCCAGTTAGTAGTCAAATGTACCAGGCCTTTTCTTTTTTTTTTTCAAGACAGGGTTTCTCTGTGTAGCCCTGGCTGTCCTGGAACTCACATAGATCCCCCTGCCTCTGCCTCCCAAGTGCTGAGATTAAAGGTGTGTGCCACCACCAACTAGCTCAGGCTTTTTCTTTTTTGCCATTCAGCTCTTTATAAGACCAATCAGGTGTCTTAGGCAGGCAAGGTGAATCCTAAACCCGTCTTTACATAATTAAACAAATGCAGCATAAACAAAAGTAAGACACCTTTGCACAGTTAAAGTAATATTCTGCAGCATAAACTAATGTAACACATCTTTGCCTGGTTAGCAAAATACTCCACAGCTGGGCAGTGGTGGCACATGCCTATAATCCAAGAACTTGAGAGGCAGAGGCAGGTGGATCTCTGTGAGTTCAAGGCCAGCCTGATCTGCAGAGTGAGCTCTAGGACAGGCTCAAAATCTCCAGAGAAACCCTGTCTCAACGCCCCCCCCAAAAAAATAATAATTATAATATTCTACAACACCATACATAACCATAGAACTCGACTGTTTAGAACCACTGGAAGGGCATAACCTTTGGTAGCAAAACCTACAAGCCTGAACCCTGAGTGGTAACCAAGGAGAAACCAACCAGGATCTGATGGACTCTGCCTCCTCTAAGACTCTCAGAAGCCTTCAGAGAAGGAAAACTCCAGTCCAGCATATAAGCCTTAAACCATAGTGCCTTCAGCTCTAATTCTGAATTACTAATTTTACTGTTCACTTTTCCTGTCTTCTCCAGAAGGCATAGACACAAATGACAGACTCTCCAGTAGTGCTGGCCGATCAGCTCAGGGCCTGGGAATGCGTTACTATTGAGCTAGACCCTTCATTATTCTGGGCCTAAAAAGTCTTATCTGTGGTGAAGTCTCCATAAGCTGTCTAGAGCCACGGTACAGTCAAGATTGTAATCAAAAGCAAATGGAGTTGTCTTGGACTGCCTTCTCTGTCTCAGTAACTATACCCTCCAAAGCTCTGTTCCAGCTCATCATAGAATCCATCAGAAAAACAGAGGTGAGACTTACTCCGGGTCACAATGACACTGTATTTGGTGTCCTTCTCTATAATCTCAACTTTGAGGCAGGTTTTTGTGCTGTATAGACCCACGTTAACATAGGTGTCATTCAATTTCTCTTTTAAAAAAGAAGAAAAAAAGTTCCAGATACTAAACTGCTCTAGCTCCTTCAGCTTCTCTTCATTGTCCACCTGGGTGACGCGGACCAATTTGGAACTATTTACCCGGACCTGTAACACAAATGAAATTAGGATGAAAAGTAGGAAATTTTCATAAACATAATTTTCAAAACACCCTTACTGGAAATATACAGATGCAGCAAAAACATGATTTGGCAAATGATGCTGCTCTAATAGAGGCAGCTGCTACAGTTTCTTATTACATGGTCTGAAAAGGGGTGGGGGGTGGGGGGAGTTCCCAAGCAGACAGAGTATCAATACAGCTATTTATGAGATCATACAAAGCAAGGACCTAGAATATTAAGAAAATTGCCAGTCATAAACAGCCCCAGAAAACTGAAAATGTTCCCATAATGACAGGCTGAGAAGTTCAACGCATTGTCACAACGCTTTGTGATTATAGATAAACGTTGGTTATAATGTGCCCTAGATACAGTATGAATTTTGTGTCCTCTCATGTGCTGACGTGAACAGCAAACACCCTCATCAGCTTCTGTGTTTACTGCATATGCACTTCGAGCCTCCAAAGGGCTCTTTGTGTTCAATCACCACTATAGCCAGAAACTCTTCTTGACAGTGTTATGAAATAAAGGAGACCAAAGTCATTATACCCAGAGGAAACTTCTCTCACAGAATCAAAATAGAACGGGAACCACAAGACAAGAGTTTACGTTTAGACAGGCACACCAGATTCCAGCCCAAAAAAGGCACAGGGCATTTCAAAAGAGGCATGAGTGTGCACACCTCAGAAGGGAGGAAGCAGACAGAAGGAAGGGGGAAAACATTTCCTGCAGGATCACTGTTCTCTAAGTTGGTGTTCTCTCTAAGGGAGCTGAGACACCCTGGGGAGGGCTTCCAATTACCTGTATCCGTGTCCATATATCATACCACTTTGGGATAAGCACATTTTTATAACAGAATTGTTGACTGGAATTCATATCAACTTGAGACTCCTGAAGCATGACCACATTTACATCAATTCCAGCTTTATGAAGAAAAAAAAGGAAACAAGAATTAAGTAGAACATGACAGACAAAGCAAGCTCATACCTACAACTCATGTTATAAGAAAAAAATAAAGGGACCGACCACTTTGCTGGGTCATCTTCTCCAGCCCCGTAAGAACTACTTTTAAGTGTTTCTTCTTCAGAGTGTGCTGCCTGCCTCACTTAAGCCTCCTAACAACACCATGTGGTAGCCACTTCATAATCTCTATTTTACAAACAAGAACTCTGATGTCTAGGGAAATTAATTCCCAAAGTCATGAAGCTAGTAATCAGTCTGTGACACACACGGAAGCCCAGCCCCCACCTTGACCACGAATACTCTTCCTCTCTTAGGACACGGTAAGGTGACCTAAAGCAACCCACCTGTCAGTTCTCTCCACCTCTTTTCTGAGTAGTGTGGACAGAACTGGCAGAGGCTTTATGGAGTTTTTCAAGAACCAATTAAGTGGGCACTAAAGGGCTGCAGGCTGTTTTAAGAGCAGTCCAAGGTGGTCCATCACCCCTTGGATTCAAACTACAAGACTCTGCCTCGGTTTCTAATCATTCTCAGTAATTCAAGATTTGAGAGAAACCAATTTTCCCCACCTTCCTGGAAACCTACTTTCTTTGACACAAACATTTAATAGCTTAGTACCTCTAACTCTTCATTGATTTTCTATATCATGGGGAACTTTACAAAAATATTTTGTTTTTTTTTGGGCAGTGGTAGGGCACATCTTTAATCCCAGCACTCGGGAAGCAGATACAGGGGAATCTCTCTGTGTGAGGCCAACAACACAATCTACAGAGCAAGTTCCAGGACAGCCAGTGCTAC